CGGGAAGCGCACGGCCCACCCCCGCACGAAAACGCGTTCGCTTGGATCGCGCTTTGAGCATCGTTCACACTCTTGCAACCGAGTAAGACCGAGAGAGACCAGACCGGTTTTTAAGCCTCTTGCGACGTCTTAGGACTGGGTGCGCTGCTGCGGAGCTGGTCCTAAGAGGTCGCAAGAGGCTTAGAAAACGCTATTGTCTCTTAAGGGGTATTCACACGAGGGAGAAATCCCGGGGATTTCTCCCCGGCACGCGCATCCCACGACGAAAACGTCAGGCTTTGCGATGTGCAAAAGCCTCGCGTTTACATCTCGTGATGCGCGCGTGCCGGGGAGAAATCCCCGGGATTTCTCCCTCGTGTGAATACCCCTTTACGGTCGTACTCGGTTGCACGTGTGTGAACGGGTCTTTACTGCACAGCCAGTCCTAAGCCGCCATAAGAGGCTTAAAAGCCGTCTTGTCTCAGTCAGTCCTACTCAAATGCTAACGTGTCAACGAGCCAAAAAGGACCCCGGAAAATAATTTTTTTTTTTTAAATCAGTCTGGTAAGGGACACGCGTGTCGCAAAATAAATTTTACGCAAACATTTTTTTTTTTTGTATCACTGACGGGTCAAAATTATTTTTTTATTGCCCGAAACGATTGAAAGCGATGCCTGGACATTGTCCTCAAGATTCGAAGCTTGGAAACGAAGTATTTGTGAAGTAAAAAAAATAATTTCCAGAAGCCAAATTTGAACTTCCTGCGCAATCTGCACCCGTGTCTCTCACGCCTCCGTGTCGTGTTCGCCCGCGTTCCGCCATCAACCGCTCCGTGAGTGCCCCCTATCGCCGCGAGCAGACGACGCTTCACTTCCGAGTTTGAAGTTCTTCGAGCACCCTTTCAGCGATCTCAAATTCTTGGAAACGGTGTGAGGCTGAAGAAAACGCGCAGTGGACTTTTGTGAGTGACGTAAAGGTCCACGTCGCGTCGGTTCTGCGTGGAAGGCTGCCCCGGCGGAGTCACAGCGGAAACTACGGTACACAGACACCAAACCCAGTTGTTTCGACTGTTTGACGATTTCCTTTTAGAGGTTTCAGAGGACGTCGGGCACCTAAAAGAGACAACTTCGTCCTATTCCCCGACTCACCGATCACCCTCAGTGCTACATGCGTCGAGCACCGCCGTTTTTTCCGAGTGAGGGTAAAAATTAAGTAAGGATGCGACATCACTCCGGACTCCGATTTTAGGTATCTCAAAAATAAGGGCCGTAGTGCGCTCGAGATTGCGTTACAAAAAAAAAAAAAAGTGTTTTACGGATGCCGTTGGTAAATATTATAGATATTTGGCTTACAAAGCTTCTAAATTTCACGATCGATTACGACACAAATAAAAAGAAGCGAGGAGGTGAGGAGCGGGAAAGAAGGGCGCCAAAAATAAAAAGGCGCGCGCGCGTGCGTGAAATTCGTTTGCGCGTTCGGGTATTTTTTGTTTGTTTCTAGGCGTTTAATACTACCGCTTTCATCGTTTTTGACGACAAAAACAAATAGGACCTTTGAGGTCTCTGTGCCCCTTTAATGTCGGTTGAGACACCTGCGTTTGACTAGCCTGAGACAGCGTTGAGACTGAAGAAACGACATGGAGGGAACAGCCCAGCGTGCTTCAAAGGCTCCGGTAGTGGGGTACGCGAAACACGGTAACGGTTTGCTAAAAGTCCCTAATAATATAACCATGTTCGTTTTTTTTCCGCCTGACCTAAAAATTGTGCAAAAAAGAAAAAGAAAGAAAAGAAAATGCGCCGCAAACACTAATTACAATGACGCTTAGAGAGGGACGTTGTTGTTTCAGACACAGCTTCGCTTGTCTCGTCGGCGCAATTCCCAAGGACACGCTGTCGGCATAGCGACGGCATAATTTAAACGACTACGGCACTCTTCCAACCGTCATTGTGGGAGGGGCTTGCGGCACTCTTTATGAGTTCAATTCTTAGATCGAGCGAAAAAACGCAAAAATTGATCGATTAATATCTTAGGAACCAACTTTTCGCCATTTTTTTCAACTGGTCCGATCACTAATAATAATTGCCGTCAAAACTGCAATTGCAATGTGACCCCTAAGACCAATAATTAAGAAGTTCATTAACACGTTTCAGTTAATTATTAAGTTCGAATTAAAATCAAGCGCCCTGTGTGGTAAATTGTTTAATTAAAGAGAAAATCTTGATGTATCGCGCGGTGTTTACAGTCTCCCACCCATAAGCCTTTTTCTTTTTCTTTTTTTCTGGAAAGGGGAAGGGGGGACGGAGAGTGCATTGCGTAATATATAAGGTGACTCAAGTCACCAGGCTCTATCATAAATGGACCGTAAAAATCGACGCCCGCACGTCGCAATTTAAACTTTTCGTCAAAGGTGTATTTACAAGTCGGTTTTTTCTTGTAAAATTACAAAGCCTAGCACTTTTTCTGTAAAAAAATAGGGCCAAGACACTTGCCAGGGTATACGGCGGGTGTCGGCGCAGACGACTAAGTCCAGTAGCGAGCAACGAGCTTGAGTCTTACCTTAGAGCGGTAAACTGGAACCCACTGCCTGCAGCGGAAATGGCACCCCCCCGGCTGCCGCCATCTTGCCTGTTTGCCACATTAGTGATCACGTGACGTTAAGATGGCTGCGCCCAACGGTGGGGCAGATCAGACTGGCAAGACCTCCTTGGCAGATGGGAACTCTGAAACTGCGTTCGATTATTCGAATGGCGCCGAGTTATTCCGGCGGATAAAGTCACGTGACAAGACAGATGCAGCAATGCTGGACGCGGGTAGGTTTTCGAACGCAACGGGTGCGAGAACTTCACCCAGGAGTGAGATAGGTCCGTAGCTCTCAAGTTTTGAGCAGCGCTCCAGGCGAGCAAAATAGAATATTTGGCTCGCGTTTCGAACATGCGTCAATACGCTTCCCCACTAAAGTTTTTTCTACTCCGTTCCATTCTAAGTGCCAGCGTAGCAGAGGAAACAAGAGCGAGCTCCGAGCTTTTAGCGCCCCTGCCAAGCACGCGCGCTCGTGCAGTGCGAGCATCGTTCAGGGGAACATGCTTTAGCAAGAAGCTTCGGCTTCGCTATCAAGTAAAGCGAAACAGACGGGCTCACGGAAGCCATGAAAAAGAGAGAGAGAGAGAGAACAGCTTTATCGAAAATGCCTGCAGAATCGATTAGGCTCCCTCCGATAAAATAATAAAGCTGAAAGGAATGTTTAAGGCCGCTGAGGCCGCGAGCTGTATAATTCTTTTTTTTTTAATTATCTTAGTTTCTTTTTTTTAGACGTTTTGTTATCGCGCGTCTACAGATTCTGACAGATGCTTGAATTCGAACGTGGCACGTGCAAAATCGAACGTTACAGCGCCGCCTGGGTGGTGCTGCCAGCATAACATGGTCGCGTCTTGCGCAGTCTTGCGTAAAGCCCCTCGATATGTTTTCGTTTGTTTTTGCAAGTAGCGCCAAATGCGCGAGCGCACGTGGCCCAGGTCTCGAGCGGCCCTAGGAAGCAAATGGCGGCGCAGCACTGAAATCAGCGGCCCTTGGAAGCGAATGGCGGCGGAGCACCCGCTCATGGCACGTGTCTTGCGCATTTCCACAACAATGGTTGGCGGTACTTGTGAAAACACCTTTATCAAGGGGCTTTAGTCTTGCGTACGCGCTCGCGCCCCCTGCCCGAGAGCAATGGGTCTATAGAAGCTGCGTTCGATTTACTTGCAGCCCCTGCACCGGTGCAGAAAAGTGTGGGGCGGTGTACTCCCGGTCGTATCTCAATGCACATACCGAAAGTAGACTGCCCTACACTTTTCTGCACCGGCGCAGGAGGTGCAAGTAAATCGAACGCAGCTTTTATCTCACTCTTGGGTGAAGTTCTTGTACCCGTTGCGTTCGAAAACCTACCCGCGTCCAGCGTTGCTGCATCTGTCTCGTCACGTGACTTGATCCGCCGGAATAACTCGGCGCCATTCGTGTAAGATTCGAACGCAGCCCCAGAGTGCCCATCTGCTGACCGCGATCTGGCCAATCTAATCTGCCCCACCTTTGGGCGCAGCCATCTTAACGTCACGTGATCACTAATGTGGCAAACAGGCAAGATGGCGGCAACCGGGGGGGTGCCATTTTTGACCGCTGGTTTACCGCTCTAAGTTTACTCAAGCTCGTTGGTAGCGAGGTGTGTTTGGCGTTCGTATTGATAAATGGCGTCAGGAGCAACGCCCGAAAGTTCAGCCGACCAGCGAAAGAAAGCAGACGACATGGAGAGAAAATATGTTGGCAGCAAAAGCGCCGTCGTTATGCAGATGCGTTTTTTTTTGTTTTTGTTTTAGGTTTAGCTTTTTTTACCCGGATTTATTTTTCAACCAAAGGTACATTGAAAAAAAAATATGTTCATTTTAATAAACCACGGTGGTCGCGAGCTGTTGCGATAAGGAGATAGCGCCATCTACTAGTACGAACACCAAACACTCCCCGCTACTGGACTTGGTCGTCTGCGCCGCCACCCGCCGTAGACCCTGGCAAGTTTCTTGGCCCTATTTTTTACAGAAAAAGTGCTACGTTTTGTAATTTTACGAGAAAAATCCGACCCGTGAAATACAACTTTGACGAAAAGTTTAGACTGCTACGTGCAGGCGTCTATTTTTACGGACCATTTTAGGTCGAGCCTTGTGACTTGGGTCACCCTACATATGCGATACAGGCTCTTAAAATATTTGGGAGCTCCGTGTCCTTAGGACCAGGAAGTATCCACTCATACAGTCCTCAAGGCCTCCGCTGTTGTTTTCAGTCCTCAGCACCCTGAAAACAAGGAGGGGGAGGGGACGACAGCTACGAGGAGAGAAGGAATCCGTTCTGTTTGCACGGTGGATGTCCTCGGGGAAAACGAACGCGCGCTCCGCAACGTTTTCATCTCTTGGGAAGTCGACAAGCTCTTTTTGCCGTGCTCACCAGAAAGCGTGTCCTGTTTGTGCAGCCCTTAACGAGTGCTACTGTATTTGCAGTTTTGCGTCAACGGCGTTTGTTATAACCGTGAAGATTGGATCCACGAGCACCTTCCTAATGGCTCCCTCGACATCCATCCGTACGTTCCACCCAGGAAACCCTTTTAAATTGACTCAATGTAGGCAATAAAATGGCGATGGAAGAACCCTCGAACACTTTTGGCTCTTTATATTCCTAAACATGAAGAACACATAGAGAGCAAAGCACTGATCTCTACGACGAGTTTTCTGAATCTTGCCTTTCCGCTCCACAATTGCGGACACGGAAAATTTTCGATCGGCCATGGCCATGTTGGGGAGCCGGACTATACGTAACGCGGGGCATTCTTTGTGCTCAATCACATTTTTTTTTATCAGTGAGGATTCTTAATTTAATCTTTGTGCAAAGCTGCAGTCGCTCTGCTCTTGCAGACATCAGACGAAATGCACGCTGTTCGTTGCAGACAAAAGGTCCGGACTATCGCCGGACGTGCCTCAAGCACGACTTAAAAAAACTCGAAAATGAAAAAAAAAACTAAAAGCCTAGATAGAAAGCACTAGTTTTTTTAGTTTTTCCACACACGATATATATATATATATATATATATATTGTGCAATGTTTACGTTGTTAGATGGCATTTAGTTGCAGGCATAGCCCTGCTCCAGATCCCGTGCACATAACGATAGGTGGTTAGCTAAAGCTAGGCGCCTTTTCTCGGCTCTCATCCTTTGGAGGGATGATTGACGTGTGAAATTTTCGTTGGAAACTTGTTTCTCTTTTTGGCCGTCATAGTATTGTTACAGACTGTATTTTATTTTTCAATGTTTGAGAAACAAATAATCTAGAGAGAGTCATTATTGTTTTCTAAAAATATCCTGATACTGCTTTTTCCGCTTTGGCTTAAAAGGATAACAAACCCGGATGCCGATGTTTGCGGCGTGCTCAAGTCGCGTAGCTCGTTCAGCTTGTCTGGTTTTAGGATTGCGAGTCATTTTGCCTTCACCGACGTGCTTAGGGGAAGTTTTCTTCAACCGACCTGATTTGCGGGAAACAACTGTCGTAAGTATAGGCGCCTTCGGAGACCCTGTGCAGGTGCTTTGTAGTGGGACTGCCCATAATGTCCCACGCAAACCATTTTGCTTGATTCGGCTCGATCGATTTGTTTGCGCGTGTTGATGCTGAATAAAGATGTTCGTTTCCGGAAAAACGGCTTCGCTGCTCTGTAAATTGTGCAACCGTCGTCATTGCGACCATGATTCCAATGCGAAGTGAAAGTTCGCCTGACTCTTGCCCAAGGGTTGCGTTGATGTCAGAATGTCGAGCTCTAATAGACCATTTACTAAATCCCCCAAGCGCTCCGGCCAGCACTCGAGGAATCATGAGAACGGTGTTCCTATCAGCTTCCTAGTGATCGGTGATTTCGACCTATGGCATAATTGCAGAGTTCTGAGTGTAATTCGAAGTCACTCTGAACAAGCCTCGTATAGAGCCCAAGGACCTATAATATCACTTTTACCAATTTTCGTCAATGTCGGAATTTTCGATACTGTGCATTCTGTCCACCCTTCAACCTGGCTGAGCTGCCGAAATCTTTGACATTATTATCATTTTTGTACAGCTTCAAAGACGCTTAAGTCAGAAACGCTAAAAATGCTATAAACAGCACCACTGAATTGGAGCCAAATCATGGTTTTGGTTATTGGGAGTTCTTTGCTTTTTAAGCAATTCCTGCTAAAATAACAATCACGAGAATAATAATATTGTAAGAGATTTCTGCAGCTCAGCCAGGTAGAAAGGTGGATCGCATGCACAGTATTAAAAACGCTGACACTGACGAGAAATTTTAGAAATGATATGACAGGTTCTCGGTCTCTATACGCAGCTTGTTCAGTGTGACTCCGAATTGCCTACACTCAAAACTGTGTAACCATAAAATTGGTCAAAATTACCGATTACTCGGGGGCTGAAGGAACACCGTTCCCATGATTCCTCGAGTGCCGGTCAGGGCGCTTGGGGGATATAGCAAAAAGTCTAATAACTGACTGAAAAAGAAAAAAAAAATAGCGGGTAGACCTCAAGGTATATATATAGCATTGCAGTCTACCCACTGTCCTTCCGATCAAAACCAATCAGAGCACGGCGTCGTTATGACGTCACCTCAACCCCTGAGCAAGAGGAGGACTTGCTCTCGGTATGCCGAAAAGATACCTACAGAGGTAAGCTTTTACGATATTGAACAGTTGAAAGTCAGCGCTCTCTTTGAAATGAACAGTTCAAAGTCAGCGCTCTGTGTGTGTACCTCTTCTCTGTCTGTGTCGTTTTTGCGCTGTTTTTACCCTTTCAAAAATTTACGAGCCGTTTGGCAGGTAGCAATAGGGCGGTCATAAATTTGTCCAGGTATGTTCCAGTCAATTCGTTTCGAAAGGCAAGTAGCCCTAAAGTTTTGCAGCGCACCTGTCCTGCCAAAGCGATTATTTTTAGGTCACGTTTTAATTGTGCGTAATTTACGCTCATCCACTTGGCTCGTAAATGTCATGCAAAGAAAACAACAGAAAAGTGTAAAGGGTGGCAGACTTATTTTCTTGATTGTTTTGTCCTTCCGGTCTCTTTTTAGCGCACATCGTAAAACGCTGAGAGACGCTTGTATCGGACCGTAGCTCGTGCATGATGGAACGCTAGAACGCCGCTTTCACGGTCGCGTCTCGCGAGCGTTGCAAACGATTTAATAGAGAGTTTTAGTAGACCGTGTTTCCCCCTCCGCTAGCCCTCCGCTACGAAGAAACCGCCACTGCGCCTGCGTGCCGATGGCCTTGGCTGTAGAGTTCCGGGTAGCGAAGGGCTTAGCGGAGGAAGAAACACGATCTACTAAAACTCATTGATAGCTAGTTTTAGTAGACCGTGTTTCCCCTCCGCTAAGCCCTTCCGCTACCCGGAACTCTACAGCTAAGGCCATCGGCGCGCAGGTGCAGTGGCGATTCCGCGCTCCGCTCTGCAGAGCGGTTGCACGAAAACGGTCCATTAAAACTCCCTAATGGTACGTTTACACCTGGGTGACTTTATAATGGTACGTTTACACTTGGGTGAGTTTATGAAACTCACCTAAGCTCAGGAATCAATCCCCACCCCTGCCAGTTTCTATTTGAATGAGCATCGTACTGGCGTGCAGCCGTATATCACTACTGCGTGGTGCACGTTAAAGAGCGCACACTCTAAAAAAAAAAGGTGTAAAAGGTTGTATAGTTACACCCTTTGTCCCATATAATACACCCCAAAACTTCAATTCGACGTACAGCGCCCTATGGTCGAACAAACGGCCCGAAATTTTACGAGGGGCTTGATGGCTCAGTACGTCGATATGAAGTTTTGGGCTGTATTATATGGGGCAAAGGGTGCAACGATACACCCCTTTTCACCCTTTTTTTTAAGTGCAGGCTAGCACTTCTACTGCACTGGCTAGATTGCTCATCTACAGGGAGTCTCAAATAGCGACTAGGCTCTTTAAATCGACCGCAAAAATCGGGTTTTTAACCTATCACACTCCGATATTGTGCAGCGTTACCCACAGGTGGCGAATTTTTTCAATAAATTTACAAAAAAAAAACTTACCTAAAAAAAGTAAAATAAAACAAACAAAACAACTTAGCTTTTATGGAAACGCAGCGAAGCCACCGGTCTTCAAACAGGGCACCCTACTGTTTGAAGACCGGTGGCTTCGCTGCGTTTACATAGTAGTGAAGACTTTTTTTCTTTTTTTACTTTTTCCTCAGGTAAATTCGCTCTTCGCCAATTTTATAGAAAACAATGCACCACCTGCCGGAAACGCTGCGCAAAATCTCAGCGCGATAGGTTAGAAAACCGATATTTGCGGTCGATTGAAAGAGCCTTGCTACTATTTGAGACACTCTGTACAGCTGAGAAACCAGACGCCCATTGGGGCAGACTAACTTCCGGCTGTAAAAACATACCCACAACACAAAGATTTTACCTGAAAAAAAAAATTCGTAGAAAAAAATTATAAAAAAAAAAGCTTGCTTCATTCAGGTTAAAAAAAATCTTTGTTTTCAAATCAGTGTTACTTTAAACAATCTCCGAAAGCGCAGTAGCCCACAAGCGCAGCACAGTCACAGCTCGCTTGAGTATAGCTCACACGGTGTGCAATGCGGTACTCGCATGGGGGAGAAATCAGTGGAAGAATATGTGTGACGTCATGATAGGCGATAAAACGCAACTCTCTTCTCAGCATCGTTGTTTTACACGATCGAGGTTTTACACGGTCAGCGTTAGCAGCCGAATTTTGCGGTTTCTACTTTTGACACTAAGGTGGTTGTCGACAAAATACCATGAAAATAAAATTGACTCGCCACCAAACAGGTGTTGTTTATAATTGCACTCCCCGAGCATTCCCTCCGCCCTCCACCGCGGAGCCGACGTCAACGCGCCACATCACAAACGCATCACGTCACGTGATATGCGAGCTCCGGGGAAATATGAGATTTGCCTGTGTGGATACTGTTTAGAGGTGTTGGGAGGTCGTCTCGTTGATGTCCTGCCATGTTGTCAGTGTTCACCGCGCCTAGGAAGCACTCGTTGTTATTATCGTCGTCGCTGCTGCCGGAAGGTGTTTCGACGGGGGCTCTGGACAGGCAGTCGGCGTCGCTGTGCTTGCGGCCTGACTCGTAGACCCCAGTCATGCTGAACTCCTGCAGTCGGAGACTCCATAGACCGAGGCGTCCTGAAGGGTCCTTTAGGTTCACAAGCCAGCAGAGCTAGTGGTGGTCCGTGACAACGCGGAAAGGGCTCCCGTATAAGTACGGGCGAAACTTCGTGATGGCCCAGACGACCGTAAGACATTCTTTTTCAGTCGTGGAGTAATTTCTCTCCGCTTTGGACAGTGTCCGACTTTCGTAGGCGATGACTCGCTCGGTACTTTCTTGCGCTTGAACCAGTATCGCGCCCAGTCCTGCGTTACTTGCGTCCGTGTGATTTCGGTTCACGTATCCTGATCGAAATGTCCAAGAACAGGAGGAGTCTAGAGATACTCGCTCCAGCTCGTCGAATGCCTGCTGCTGCCATTCGGCCCATTCTAACTTCTTGGCGTCCTTCGTGAGGTTTGTGAGCGGTGCGCTAA